CGTGGGGGACGTCGGGTGCTGACGTGTGTTGGAGACGCATGGGAGATGGGGTCCGGTGCTGTGTGGGGAAGGGTCTGGGCGACCGTGGGGCCCGTTTTGCCCCTGTAAAGGGCCCTGGGACGAAGAGGGGACTCGGGCTTGTCCCCAAGTAGGCACTTTGCAGCAAGGGGGGCTGCAGGGCCGAGCTGTGCCGAGGGTGCTGGCCCAGCCCTGGGCATGTAAGCAGGGAGAAACAGGCCAAGGTTTCTTTGGTCCCTGGACGGTGTAAGAAGCAACAGGATCTTGGCCGCTCAGGGAATGAGAGATTGATGCTGCTGGAAGTTTCCACACGGCCTCTCTCATCGCTCTGGGGGAGCTGCTGTTCAAGGGTGCCCTGTGATGCGTTTGCTTTCAAGCCATTAAAATCTCTCTCTCTCTCGTATATGCAGAGCTAGGAGCTGCTCCCTCCTCCTTGAAGCCGGTCCTGCAGCGTGCATGTGCATCCTTGGCAGCACTGCTAGCCAGGTTTGCCTTATTTAAGAGAATTAAGTTCTCCTGCTCTTACTGCTTAGATGCAGCTGAAATGCCAGGGAATTTCCCCTGGATATCAGGGAAGGAGAAAACAAACTCTAATTTTGTCAAGTGAATGGAAAATCTGCGTATCAGAGTTAGACTGTGGCAAAATCTTTTTTCTTAGAAGAGGCAGAGAAAGTGCTTAAGGAATCAGTTCTGGAGTTTTCCCTTAAGCTCTAAAATAATGATATTTTCCTGTTATAGCAAGTTTTCAGATGTCTTGTGTTGTAAACAGCTCTTTCCTTGTCTTTTAGAGAACGCAGAAGGGTTTGTCCTCCTGAATTATTTTAACTGGGAATTAACAACAAAAATCCTAGCTCTTTTATTCTAAGATATTGCTCGATTTCCTGCTGTTAATATGTAAATATACAGGTGTTTCACTTCCTTTGTGTCTGACTCTCAAGATTTATAGATCAATATTACTTATGGCTGTGAGAAACAAACAGGCCCTTGCCACCGAGGTGTTTTACTGTGCTTAACTTGATAATCTTGAGTGTCAGTTGCAGTTGCTGAGGTTGTTCATTGATTTTAGGGGACTCTGATTCATCTTCTCTCTCAAGGTACTAATTAAAGCTGCAGTAACTTGATCAGAGATGTCAATTGGTTTAAAGTGGGCACTGAAAGTTAGATCAGTCCCTCTTGCAGTGCATGACATACCCACTCATTGCGAGGAGACCTGGGTGCTGCTCTGCAGCCCCTCGGTCCCGGTGCTGCTAGATCCAGATTTAGGGTGCAGCTAGCACTGTCCATTTCGGGGTCTCAGAAGCGTCATCAGGCCCTGTTCCAGAGAAATGCCACCTGAGAAATAAAATGTATTTCTCTCTGCATTGGCTTGTGACTTTAGCAGATATTTTTAATTTTCCTGAACGTGCTGTCTGACCTCGGCAGGATTACGTTACCCCAACCACAAAAGAGGAAACTTCTGCCTTGCCCTGCTTTGCTCCTTGCCCCCACTAAGAACAGGCTTGTCTTACTCACAGCTGTGATTTGCTTTGGCCTTAGTCAGCTGTAGCTAGAGGTGGAAAGGCTGCCTTGGGCCTTCTGCATGTTTCTCTAAACGCTTCTCTTTCCAGGTTAATGATTTTCATACAGCTGTTGTGAAGATGGGAAGGGTGTTTCAGGGAACAGAGCACTAGCCTAAAACTGGAAGACCTGGATTCAAAGCCTGTGCCTCATCTGTACAGTGGCGCAGCGTTTCCTGTGGTGGGGGGTGGTGGTTTGTGAGAGTAGGTAATTGAAGATAACAAGGATATTGTGGTGATGGGACTTGAAATTGCAATTTGAAATATGCAAATTTTTCCAGACGCCCCGAAAGGAAGCTCTGTAGCTGCATAAAAGTGTCTGTGCTTTTCAAGCTGTAGAACGGGGATATTGGTTGTGTCTGTGGTTGTGCCCTTCTGCCCTAGGCTCCTTCCATTGAACTGGAAGTTGTAGCTCCTTAAAGAGGGTTGTCTGGCAGTGGAGCCAGGCAGCTCCCCGCGGAAAAAGGCTTGTCCTGGTTAGGAAGAAAAAAACCATCTCTTCCCTTTATATCTCTTGTAGAATATTGAAGATAATGGCACAGTTTCCAAAGTAAATAAATTCTTGTGAGAAGTGAAGGAGCCGCCTCTGAGCAAACCTACCAATCGTGCTGGTGTGAGCGCTCCAGCTGGCTGCTAGCAGGCGTTTCACCGGCTGGACATGGGGTCTCATAGGCTGGCGCGATTGGTAAGTTTTCTCCTCCTACAGCTTGATCGTTCGAGTCCAGCCCTGTGGACTTTTTACATGAGCCGTGAACTCAGCTGGCTTTGAGAGCTCCTTAAAGTGCCATTAGGCAGAAGCCAGAGTATCTGGGCAGTTAGCTAGTTCGTGAGGCTCTCAGTTTGCATGTTCTGGGGCAGGAACAAGACCTGATTATATTTGTTTGAGTAAAACAAATATATGATAAAAGAAACAGATCTCGAGCCAGAAATCTTTAAGATGTTGGCTGCTTTGCCCTTTTACAGGGGATGAAAGGAAGGGGTGAGGTGGCTGTTTTTTCCCTTCCGTAGTGAGATGGTTTTCATACAAAAATAGGTTTGTGACAAGCAGAGAAGAAGCAGAAGACGGTCATAAAAAATTATAATGAATTTTGTGAGTCAGTGCCCTTTAATCACCTAAAGGGGCTGTTCTGTTCCATTTGGTGTTTGACCTGGGGGTTTACAGAGGGGCAAACTGGACCTGAGTGGCTGAGCAAATTCTCCGTGGGGTGAATAAACGTGTAGCTCAGGGATTACACCGCATCTGTGGAGAGACAGGGCTTCTGCCCCAGTCATTGCCCTAATTTATTTGTGTGGGCTAATGGGATCTCTGCTGATATGTGTCTCTCTCTTTGGCCGGGTCAACATTGCTCTTATTTGTAGTCAGGGCTGTTAATCCTTAACAGTGTCCTAATTCTGCTGAAAGAGAGGGTGCAGCCATGTAACTTGGGCAGCCACACAAGCTCCTGGCTTTCTGGGAAGAATGCGTCCTTTTATCGCAGGCCAGCTAGCTGGGTGCAAACGTCTGATGCTTTAGTCTCCAAGAGGTTGCCACAGTGAGCGAGAGCAAGTGGCTTAAAGGGAATGGATGCCCTTTTCTAAGAAATTGGATGCCCTTTTCTAAGAAAGGGTGCAAGTAATTTCCATGCGATGCTGTCCCAGGCGCCGGGGACCCTGACCTGACTCTTTCTGGGGATTTATGCGCTCAGTTGCGGCAGGCTGTGAAAGAGCCTTCGCGTTGCCTTGAGAGAAGCCGTGGAGCCTGCTGCCTAGCGGTGAACTGCCTGCCTTTGGGAAGTGGGCTCCTTGGTGACTTGGCCTGTGGCCCGATCGCTCTTATTTCTTAGCTGCTTTCTGTTTGGCGAAAGGCTTTGCATTCTCAGGAAGGAGCTGTCTGTCTCTCTGATGACCCACGTTATAGACCAGTCAGTGCCATACAGAACAGCCAAGGTGGCGCAGGAGGGAGCTGAGGGCGTTGACGTTGCTGAAACTCTGTTTTTGTTAGCGTTGATTGTATCTAAAATGCCTAAATAGCTTTTCTCCCAGCCCTGAGCTGCATTACGATCTGATGACTGGCTCTTGCGCTGGACAGAAACGCATATGACTCCTGCATTGTCTGTGTATTGAGTGAAACGCAGCACCGCTTTGTTCGGTGAAGCTGATGCGCTTTTGATGCCGGTCAGTTAATTGATGTAGTGTGTAGTTTGCTTCGTTGGTGCTGCGGGGAGTGTGGCACACGGGCTCGGCTCTGTTGTGCTCGGTGCTATGTGGACACCCTGACCCTCCCAGTGTCTGCAGATGTCTTTCTGCAGTCTTGGGGCGTCCCGTATACCCTGCGGGGGTATTGGATGCTGTTCTGGCATTGTGTGACCGTTGCGCCTTGGTGCGTGCGTTGAGGTTCAGCGTACACGCTGCGGGTACGAGTGCGGTGCCTAGATGCACGCTGCTGTCCTAACCTCCCCTCTTGCCTCCTCTGCCGAGCTCAGCTTGGGCTGTGCTGCGGGTACCCTTCTTCAGTTGCCAGCACTTGCATTTGCTCACACCAGTGAACTGGACTGCAAAACTCCCAGCTCCCGTTTCAGCAAAGACTCGCCTCCCCGCAGGCACGCGTCTAGCGCTCTCCTTGGACTGCGCTTCAGCTCCTTTTTCTGGGCTGTCAGCGCTGCAGGCCTTGTCCTCATGAGGCGGGAGGATATTTTCACAGTCCGTTGGTGCTCTGCGTGCATGAGACAAGGGCTGTATCTGTGCGCGTTCAGCTAGTTGAGCTAAACAGTGCATCCCACTCAGGTCAGATATACGGGAGACAGCCTGCAACCTTGGCCACAATAGGCGTTCCCTACCTGTTAGCCAACATAATTTCAAAACAACAGAAAATCCTCGTTGTCCTAATGCAGATGTGCTTTTGGCTGGGGCTCCCGCAGCCACGTGCTGGCAGTGGATGCTTCTTTAAGCAAGGTTCGGGTTTTCCTTGCCAGGGTTGGGTGCTGGCTCTGCCAACCCACGCCCAGCCTGCGCCGATGCCGCTTGCCTTTACTGCAAGCGATGCTGACGAGCCCTTGCTGTGGTGGGCTCTGGAGCCTGGAGTTTGCTCCCTTGACGCCTCTTTGCCTTTCTTAACTTTGAAACAAAACCTACATTTATTTTTCCCCAGATGTGTTTGTTCCACCATCTGTTTAGCCCCTCTTCTTACCCTGGGCCTCCTGCAGCTCTCCGGGCAGGAGCGTGAGGTTGTTGAACGGGGGCTCTGCCTGTGCCAGATCTTCGTTCCACCTGTGTGGAACCCAGAAAACAGCCCTCTGCGGCATTCCCGAGACGCAGCTTTTGCCCGGTCCCTGCCGAGCAGCAAAAAGCCACTTGCTGTGCTTATGCAACAGTTATTGTTTTGGCTGGTACATTGTGTTATAAGCCATATGGGGCTTTGTATCTTGATTGTGCTCTGCCAGTGCTTCTCATCACTCCTGCAAGTCAGGCATCTTTGTAAATACCACAGCACTTGCTTCCTGTCGGCTCACCAGAGCTGGGGCTGTATTTCAGGCGCCCTAGAAAAAACCCAAACATTCATATTCCTCAGACGGCCGTAATTCCCCGTTTGAAACAGGGACATTGTCAGCAGTGGTAATAAAGAGAGTTCGAGCTCAGACAAGTTCTCCCTGGCACCTTGTCTAGGCAAATATTATCAAGCTATTGAGCCATACAGTGAATGCTAGATGGGGGTAACTGGGGAATTTGCCAAAGGAAATGTCACGAATGAAATGTCTTTCTTGTCTGGCACAAAAGATTTAGCAAATTGTGAGGATTTAGGAGTCTTTCTCCTTGGCTTCAATGTATTAAGCCTTTAAAAAGAAATCATTCTAGCTGTCCCAGTGGCAGGCACAGCCTCATCCCTGGTATTTTTGCTTGGCAGCGTTCAGGGCAGTAGAAGTGACAAGCGTCAGAGGTTGCAAACTTGCTCCGCTTCCCCGAGGACGGCTGTGAATGAGAAGGCAGCGAACGCTGTAAAGGCAGTTAATCGCCCCCTCGTTGCAGCTCTCCCTCGGGATATCCCCTGCAGCGGCCCTGCCTTGCACCCGGCCGCGCAACCCGTCTGGTTCTCTGGGAGCTGCAGCCGCTCGAGCTGGTTCCTCCCAGGCTGGCATGTGCCTGCTGAGGCCTTTGAACGACGTGGCTTCTCGGCTGTAATTTTGCTCTCGTTCTTTCCTTGAACTTGTTTCCCCAGTGTGGAATTCTGGTTCAAATGCTGTAGGCTCTGCGGCCTCGGCTCTGGCTCCTGCAGATGCCTCCTCTCCCTCCTGGGCCTTCCTGTGCTGTTGCTCTTCTCTCCTCCCCGCTCACCAGCAGCTTTTCTCAGCCTCCCCAGGCCCTGCTGCCAGTGAGCTCCAGTGGCCTTTTATTCCCTGAAGTGACCTTTTAATTACATAACGACTTACAAACATTCAGCACCAACAACATACCAAAATAATTGAAACAATGTTTTTGCAGCCTTGAAAAACAAGATTCTGTACCAAAACTCTGTCCTCTTAAATTCCCAAAGTTAGAAAAACAAATGGCTAGGAGACAGCGTGGGCTGTGGCCGGAGCGCAGGGCTGGGAACCGGGAAGCCGTCACTGCCGCTGGGCTGCCGTGGGGCTCTGCAAGGCAGCGATGGTCTGTCTGCCCGGGGAGGCCACGGCTTCAACTCACCCCTGAAACATGGGCAAAGACTGAGGGCTCCAGCCAGTTGCCCGTGGCCCCTTGGTTGGCTGCCCGTGGTAGCTGGCAGTTCCCTGTGGTGGTGAACAAAGGTCAAAAGGAGGTGTGGGGAAAGGTGATGAAATGATATTTCTCTAGCCCCTTATTAACCCCATGCTGAAGGCACAGGGGTGAGGTTCGATGTCATGGTTGGTCTAGGGAGATACTGGGAGAGTCCCTGGGGCATCAGGGCCTTGGGCTGGGCATGCCAAGGAGCAGCTGTGGTCTCTGTTCTTGCTGCTGGTCTTACCCCTCCGTCTGTGTGCTTCCTCCTCGCAGATCAAGAGGACAGTATGGCTGCGACTGCTGCCGTCAGCCCCAGTGAATACCTGCAGCCTGCTGCCTCCAGTGCCCAGGTGAGCGCTAGGGTATCGGCGAGCTCACGGCTCCCTGCCGTGGCAAGGGCAGAGGGACGTGTTTGCGGGGCGCAGAATGGCAAAGGGTGCATCGTTTTGTTGGTAGCTCTGCCCCTCCTCTGCAGATCAGCTCCTCCTGCCTCCGTTGTAGTGTTTGTGCATTGTTGTGTCAGGAGGGGTGGCTGCAAGACAAGCTGGGGAGCTGTACTCTGGATTTGTTCCCAGCCCCGATGCTAACTCTTTCTGAAGCTGTGGAGTGTTGTTTCTTCTCCCCACGTTTTCCTTAGGGACCTCTTGGGTCACATTAACAGCTGATATCACAAGGGGGTCTCTGGATTAAAACTGCATGAAGCACGCCAAGGTGTGTGTAATGCATGTAAATAGCAACATGCATAGTAGAGTGAGCTAAAGACACACGTGATGTGGGTCATTATGTAGCTCCTTTACTTCGAGGTGACGGACTGGATTACTTTTGACAGCGTGCACCCTTTCCTTTGCTGCCTTGCTCTCCAGATCTGTTTGGCACAAGCCCCTATCTCTAACACGCCCATCTCCCTCCTGGTTCCCTAGGACTCCCAGCCATCGCCGCTAGCCCTCCTCGCAGCGACATGTAGCAAAATTGGTCCCCCAGCAGTGGAAGCCGCTGTGACTCCTCCTGCCCCTCCTCAGCCAACGCCTCGCAAACTCGTCCCCATCAAACCTGCTCCGCTCCCCCTGGGCTCCGGAAAGAACAGCTTTGGGATCCTGTCGTCGAAAGGGAACCTCTTCCAGATCCAGGGCTCTCAGGTCGGCGCCTCCTACCCTGGGGGGCAACTGGTTTTCGCCATTCAGAACCCAGCTGTGATCAACAAAGGGACCCGCTCGTCCGCGAACATCCAGTACCAGGCGGTGCCCCAGATCCAGGCCACGGGGGGACAGACCATCCAAGTCCAGCCCAACCTCACTAACCAGATCCAGATTATTCCAGGCACGAATCAAGCGATCCTCACCCCTTCCTCTTCCTCTCACAAGCCTGTGCCAATCAAGCCAGCTCCGGCACAGAAGGGCGGAGCTTCGCCAGTGCAGGGCGCTAGCAACATTGTCAAGCTAACCAGCGGCAGCAACGTGACTCTTACCCTGCCCGTGAACAACCTGGTGAACCCTGCTGAGCCCAGCCCGCAGGCTCAGATCATTACGGAGAGCCCCTCGAAGCCCAGCAAAAAGCCTCGAAAGAAAGCCATGTCGCCAGCCCAGCCTGCTGCCATGGCCGTGGCTGAGCAAGTGGAGACAGTGTTAATAGAGACCACGGCGGAGAACATCATCCAGGCGGGGAACAACCTGCTCATTGTGCAGAGCCCGGGCTCCGGCCAGCCGGCTGTGGTGCAGCAGGTGCAGGTGGTGCAGCCCAAGCAGGAGCCGCAGGTGGTGCAGATCCCACAGCAGGCCTTGCGTGTTGTCCAGGCAGCCTCTGCCACGCTCCCCACCGTCCCCCAAAAATCCAACCAGAACTTCCAGATCCAGACGACGGAGCCCACCCCCACCCAGGTACCGTGTCCTGAGCCTTCCCTCCCCTGGGAGGTCCCTCTTCTGCCCTGTTCCACCTCCAAGCCCTGACCTGGGTTTTAAAAAGCCTAGGGGTTTTGTGAGCTGCCAAACTGTCCCTACTTGGCACCCAGTTCAGACAGCTCTCCAGAATGGCTGTGTGGATTCCCTGACGTCTAAGAAGGGTTGCGAATGTAGCCATTCCCTCTGTGGGGCTTTATTAAGTCTCTCTCGTTTGCTGGCTGCCTGTTTTTCTAGGACTTATAGGAATGCAGTGTCCTTGAAACCTCTGCTGTGCTACCAGATCAGGCTGAGATTAGCCAGCCGGTCCAGAAGCTCTTGGGAAGTGGTGGGAGGTGAGGGAGTGGGGCTCATGCTGCCAGGCTGCGTAATTGGTGTTGCTTTCGGAAACCTGGCTACAAGGGCAAAGCCCTTTGGTGCCATGCAACACCAGGACCTTTCTGCAGGAGGCCCAATATTTTCAGGTGCTTGGGTGACTTCTGCTTTTCTTTGGCTTGTTGCAGGCCCAGATTTCTGGGTTGTGTAGGGAGGGCGACTGTCACAATGGAAGGAGACGTTTTTCCCTGTGGATGGTGGTTGCCTTGATTCCTCTCCTCTCACCAGGTCTACTTCAAAACGCCCTCGGGTGAGCTGCAGACAGTGCTGCTCCAGGAAGCCCCGGCCATGACGGTGGCTCCGTCTGGGACCTCTTGCAGTAGCCCCGTGTCCCGCAGCTCCGGCACAGTAGGCAGCAGCAAGAAACCAGCCACGCGCAAGGAGCGCACTCTGCCAAAGATCGCCCCTGCCGGAGGCATCATCAGCTTGAACGCGGCTCAGCTGGCAGCTGCGGCACAGGCCATGCAGACCATCAACATCAACGGCGTGCAAGTCCAGGGTGTGCCCGTCACCATCACCAACACCGGAGGTGGGCTGCGCGCCACACTGTGGTGGGGCGGGTGGGCAGGACAGCAGGACATAGGGAGCTCCCTGATCCAGAGGACAGAAATCCTCTGCTAGCTGCACTTTGCAGCTGGGATATTATCGCTTCCTAAGCAGATCCCTTGTACCCCGAGGCTGAGTGTTAAATGCCGTTGGCTTCTCTAGCTCCCTTTGCTCCAGGAGGCCCAGAGTGTTTCATAGGGTGCCTCTGGTGGCTCTGGAGGGTATTTCCAAGCCTGTCCTGGTAAGCAGGGGTGGATAACAGAGACAGCTCACCTTCAGAGTCAGGCTGTGGTCGTGCTGAGCAGCAGGACATCTCTGAGGGCAGAGAGGCTGAGGCTGTCTGAGGGCTCAGTCTAGCTCTGTTTGCTCCTGAGCTCTGTGAGCGGGTGAAGGCTGAGCTACAGCCAGGCCCGTGAGGTGAGATGTGTGTCTCTGGGAGGGCTGGGACCCGGCTGGGCTGGGAGCACAGCGCTCTCAGGAGGTTCCCTCCTTCAGCTCCTCTGTGGGGCCAGCAGCCCCTGCTGCAAATCGTGCTGACACCAGCAGAGTCCTGCGGGACATTGGAGTCCAGCTCTGGGGCTGAGACGTTTCTCCTCGTGTCGGCTGTGTTGCCGAGTGGAGAGGCTGTTGACGGTGGGTTTCCGATAGCCAGGCCAGGAGAGGTGCCTTCGAGACCTCTGTGTTCCTCCAAGCTCTGTAACAGCTAACGAGGGATCGCCGTTTGCTCACAGTGAACCCAGCCTCCTCTGTGGGACAAGTGTGTCCTTTAAGGCCCTACAGAAAATAGCCAGACACAGCCCCTGGCCTGTGCTTGGAGCTGTCTGTGAGCCCCAGACAGCCCCTGTGCGGGGAACGGCATGCCTCTGCAGCTGCTCCGTCCTCCCCTCCTGGCTCTGGCAAACCTTCCTTGTCCCTGCTCAGCAATCCCCAGCCCAGGCCTGGTGGCATTTGCTGCAGGGAGCTGAGGGAAGGAAGTCATGTCTGAGGGAAGTTTATCTGCTTTCGGATCCAGAAAGACCTGCTGGTGTTCAGTGGTTTCTCTCTCAGCAAGAACCGGCAGGAGTCCCGGCTCGGTTTTGCAGTCGGAAGCTGTTCTTTCTTGCTTGACTAAACTATGTCAGCATAAAATATGGGCCGGTGTGGTTTAGTGCTCCGCAGCGGGCTGCCATCGTTGCTGGGGTTGCTTTTAAGGGGGGTTTTAATTGCTGCTTTGTGTATAAATCTGGGGCCTGTGATGAGTGTCGGGGAGATGCCACAGGTAGATGTTGCTGCTGCCTGCGCCGTTCCCTGCAACATGCCACAAGGCTGGCTGGGGCCTTGCTCCAGCCCTGGCCTGGGAGGGGGACTGGTAGGGCCTGCTGGCTGCTGCTACTCCATGAACAAAATGAATTGAGGCAGAACTGAGCCTGGTTTTTCCTGTGATGCGTCCACCTCCTGGGAGCGTGTTTGGTAAAGAGCTGCCCAGACCCTTCGCTGAGTGCCTTTTCTCCCAGTGGCTGTGGAAGCACCTTTGCTCTGCCCCTGCCCACGGTCCGCAGCTCCCTCTTTGCAGTGACCCTTTCTCTGCTCGGCCATCAGGTCCCACTTCTCTTTCCCCGTTGCCCCGAGAGCAGCGATCCCGCTTGCTGATCCCGTCTTCTTCTTTCCAGCCCCCGTCACGGCTGCCGGGTGCTGTGCAAGGCCCTGGCGTGGCCCAGGCTGCCGCGTCTGTGAGCGCCCGAGCGTGGAGCGGCCCTTAGGGTCCAGGGTAAGTCCCGTTTTTTTGGTCAATATATTGCACGTTTTTTCAAAGTTTCTTTTTTGTTTCCTCTTTGGTCATTTCCCCACCCCGAAGGGTTGAACCGAAAACTTTGAAAAACCGCACAGTATATTCAGAAAAAAGGGACTTACCAGCCCCGCTTGGGGGCCAGCATGTGGTGGGGCAGAGGGGCTGTGGCAG